ATAGAGTTAGTCATTTGGATTAAACATTGTAATTTGTTATGCTTAATTATACAGTGCTTTTGGACATTAGAACCACTCGATCTGATCTGTCAACCAACCAAGAATTTCCTGGCTTCAGCATCAATATTTACATCCACATGGTTGTTTTCAAAGCCGGGTTAACCTCTTGGTACTTTTCCTCTTGAGCTCTCTTATGGTTTATCCGACTTGGATTTTTTGGTCAGTAGATGAAAAAGTCAGTGACCAAATATTGAATAGACCCTTCAGTGCTGGTATGATTTCCCCTGTCCCCCCTTCAGTGCTCATAGGATTTCCCATGCCCCCACCTTCCTGTTTCTCACACATCATTAGGGTTGCAAGTTTTCCTTTTCTGAATTTTTTGTTTGTTTGTTTGTTTGTCTTTTTGAGACAGGGTCTCCTTATAGCCCCAGCTGTCCTGGAACTCACTATGTAGACCAGGCTGGCCTTGAACTCACAGAGAGCCGCTTGCCTCTGCCTCCCGGGTGCTGGGATTAAAGCCATGCGCCACCACGCCTGGCAAAATTGTTGATATTTAATAAATTTAATTAAAGAAATCAGATATTTTAAAAATTCAGGCCAGGGAAGGTGGTATATGCCCATAATCCCAGCACTTTGGAAACAGAGGAAAACAAATTTAAAGCTAGCCTGGGTTACACAGCAAGATCTTTATGCCATCTTATTTTCTTGCATACTTCAGCTTAGTTAAATATACTGTAGTTAGCTTTATATTCGTATTTGTTTGGTTGGTTGGTGGGTTTTGAGACAGATCTCTGTGTAGCCTCAGCTTCTCTGGAACTCACTACATAGGCCAGACTAGCTATGATCTCACAGAGTGCTGGGTTTAAAGGTGTGTCCCATTATGCCCTGATAAGCTGTTAATTTTCAACACCATTTAAAAATGTCTAAATGTCAGATTGTATTAGATGGAATCCAGGGTTCAGGGTCCCACATGAGGATTCTAGAATAAGCCCAGATAATTCTGAAGGTTCCGTGTGTGTTAGCACTGTGCATTCAAATGGCTGCATTATCAGAGCTTGGGATAAACGCACACTCAAAGTCATCCTTCCATGCCTAGGGTAGATGAAGCAAGACCTACCAAACCAGCAAGGACACAAGTGCACACCCAAGTGACACCCACTGTACCATCTGAGAAGCCGCTAACTTCTTTCTACTCACCGAGCACATCTAATCTGCTGCCAGGAGATTTCATCTCCTCACTCTCATGAGGGGTCCTGTCTTGCCTCACATTGTGTCTGACTCCTCCTTCCCTCAGTTACCATCTCTGTCCAGGCTACCCTCTTTCAATCCAGGGTAACTTCAGTGGTCTCTCTCAGGGCTGTATCTTGAGCCCCTTGCAAGCTGCCCTCTATACTGGATGCTAAAAGATGTGGTTTAAATCATTCAGTGATTCTGGGTCATGTCCTGCTGTCTCCACAGGTCTTTCTGCCTTAATTATCCTGAGGATAGCCTCCATCTGTCTAGAAAATTCTCCCTTCTCTCTTCTAACTCCAGCATCATTTTTGAAACCTGGGTCCCACTCACTTCCCTCAGACTTCCCATCTCAATTTCCGAGGCCTCTTCTGCTCCCTTGCCAGCAAGTGCAGCCCCTCCCAGGGGGCATCATGTTGAATCAATTCATGTCCCAAACAGGTCTCCTAGCACTAGCACCCCAAGGGTGAGGCAACCTGGTATTTCCAGTGTCCAAATCCTTCTTGAACATGCATTTGGTATAGTTCTAAAGACTTTATAAATCTTCCCTGCGATAACACAATACCATACAAAGTGCAACTATAAGGAAAAGAGGTTTGTCTTGGCTCAAGGTTCTGGTCCAAGGGTGAGAATCACATCTGGTGATGCTGATCCATTAGCAGGGTCCCAAGGTGGTACCAGGCATCATTGGAGAGAGATGGACAGTGTATATGTCTCCATCACGGTGACCTTTCAAACCCTAATTACCTCACAAAGGCCATACCTTCAAACATCATAGTCAGGTGAACTTTCTGCTCTGTAACTCACAGTGGGGATTGAATTTCAACACATGAAACTTTGCGGGGGGGGGGGTTATACTCTCAAACCACATTGATACCATAGCATTAATTCATACAACCCCCAGAACAACACATTAAAAGGTACACACCATCCTTGACCATAAGCTTGCTGAGTGTCTACAGCTGCTGGGGATTCAGAGGTGACTGAGGCATGCGCACTTCTGATCTCAGTGATTACAGTTAGTCTGTAATAAGCTAGTGGATGATAACCAGGTACATGATACAGTGATAAAGGAGTGAAATGTGACAAGGGTACCATTTCAGATGAGACGGTCAGGCAAGGGGATCTGAGGAGGGGGCATCACAGCACAAGCCTGAGTAAAAGTGAGCAGTGACGTGTGTGTGTGTGTGTGTGTGTGTGTGTGCTTATGGGGAGGGTGTCAGGTGGGGGGTGGGCAGCTATAACAGCTATGCAAAGACCTTGGGACAAGAGTGAGCTCAGCCTGAACAGTGCACAGCAAGGAGGCCAGCATGCTGGAATGCAGCGCATGCAACAGAAGGCACTGAGCTATATAAGACCAGAGTTGGGTCAAATTAGTTCAGGTAGAGCCTTTCAGATACCTGAGGACTTTGGAGTTTCAGTGTGATGGGTATCCACAGGTAAGTGTGGAGCCTGGTGAGTCACAATACAACCTATGTAACCCTGGCTGGCCTTGAACTCAGAAACTCACTTGCCTCTGCCTCCCAAGTGCTGGGACTAGCACTTGCAAAAGTAGCAAGTGTTCTTAATCTCTGGGGCAGTTTTAGAGCCACAAATCAATTTTTGTCTGTTTGGTTTTTGAAACAGGATCTTAGTAGGTAGCCCTGGCTGGCCTGGAACTTACGATGTAGGCCAGGCTGTCTTCCAGCTCACAGAGACTGGACTGCCTCTGCCTCCCAAGAACTGGGATTAAAGGCATGGGCCACTACCTCTGGCAACATAAACTATCTCTATTGGCTTACCATCCTGAGGACTTTATGAATATTGGCTCATATGATCCTCTGTAGTGTGACTACTGTCCCAACTGTGACACAGAGAAGCTATTTGTTTCTGTCCCACAGCTAGTAGATGTCAGAGCCAGGAGTCTGCTCCAGCTGGCTCTGCTTTCTCTATGCAAGCCAAGATGCACATCCCTGGCACTGGGTGAGCTGTGTCATCGCTGACACCACCCGACCTTGTGCACACCTGTCTGCTGCGTTGCCAGCTCCTGCTCCATAGACGCTCTTGCCTTGATTCTTCCACAGCCTCTGCTGCAGAGCAGCGACCTGTCACAGCCAGTGTAACTCCCACTTTTTCTCTCACACTTCAAGCCAGCCATCAGCAGATCCTGTCCTGTCTGATCTTTGTCTTGACCCTACTCAGGCTGTTGCCAGCCATCAGGAGCACTATGTCCTTTCTTCTAATGTCCTGAGGTCAACTTTGCCTTTCCAATTGCCACACACAAGTTTGGTTTTTGTTTTTTTTTTTTGGTCTACAGCTCTGTCCACGAACCTGCCTCACTGCCAGTTGTTCCAAGTTGCTTTAAAACCCCTATGGGTTATCATGTTTTCCACACGTGTTGAAGCAGGCCACATGTCCATTGAGCTGAGCGCTGAAGGCCAGAGGTGAACGTGACAGGCAGGCAGTAGTAACCTAACCTTTCCAGGGCACGACCCCAGGCCCTTTAGCGTTGGCTCCTTCCTCCCAGCACTAAGTGGGCACAAGGCTGGTATTTGTAGAATACATATTCGTTTACTTAGCAGAAGACGTTTATTGAACGCTTACTATCTAGCAGGCAGGCCGTGTGATAGGCCTGAGGATATGCAGGACATCAAAGGCAGGCAGAGTCCCCACTGGGGCTTTGTGTGATTCTCACCTGTAGGTCCCCAGCATCCTCACCCCTGGGATGCAGGCGTCTACCTGGATGGAATAAAGGCCGAGAGAAGCGGGGTGGATAGGAGCTGAAGCAGAGAGCGGGAGGAGGGAGTGGCAGCCAGCCAGAGAGCTACACACGCATCTGAAGAACCAGACTCCAGACACACGTGCCGCAGCCTCTTCCAAGACCCGGGTCCGGGTGCCGCCGCCGGTGCCAGTAAAGCGTGGGAGACAAGTGGGAGTGGGGTGACAAGTGAAGCCTGCGCAGCCGGAGGGCTGGCTCGGGATTGGACCAGGCTCACGTAGGAGCCAGAACTCTAGGGGTTCAGTGCCTAGACTCTGGCGTTCACATTCCGATCCCAGGACTGTCCCTTAGGGATGTCACCTTGAGCTAGCCCCTTAGCGCCCCTGGAGTTCATTTTCTTCATTAGCGAAAAGGGTTTCCAACAGCCCCAGGGGTAGTGCCTGGAAGGCTTACCCAGAGTGGGGCTCTGCACGTAAAAATACTGCGGGAGCAGAGGCTGTGCTCCCTGATACTAGCACCTTTCGGGGTCCCCTGGCACCTCCTGATCTCTATGGAGGGACCCGCTCCTAGCCTAGTCAGGGCGCGCCCCACTCGGATAGATTTATTTGCTTGCTTGGGGCGGAGCTTGGAGCGCAGCAAGGAGGAGGCGACGGTGGAGAGCGCACGGAGAGGGAAGCCACCCGGGGGCAGCAGGCGAGCCAGGCGGGGCCGGGGAGGAGTCAGGCTGGGTTCCCGGCCGAGCGCTGCGCGCACCGGGAGCGCCGGGCGGCGGCGACAGGGGCGGGGGCGACGCGCGGTGGCCAATGGCGCGCGGCGCAGCGGCGAGGGCGGTGCAGGAACCCGGACCGCTGACAGCCAAAGTCGCCAACTCCGCGCTCGCCCCCGCGGGATCCCGGAGCCCGAGCCCGCGCGGGGCCGAGGCCGCCCTAGCCGCACTGCGAGCGAGCGAACAGAACATGGCAGTAGAATGAGGAGCCTGGCGCCGGGGGGTGGCCACCGCCGAGCTGCTGCAGCTCGCGATCCGAGCCGGGCACCCAGCGAGCCGCATCCGTAGTCGGCCTCCTGCTGGCCTCTGGCTTATTTCATTCGGCACCGAGGATCGGGAACTCGAGACCCGGCAGCCCAGCGAGTCGGTGGCTGGCAGGGTGCAGAATCGCTAGAGAGCCGCTCCGGGGCTGCGGCTGCGCGGGCGCGGGGATGAGCGGGCCATGGAGCGGCCTCCGCGGGGCGCACGGAGCGGGTCGGTGCTGCGGAGGGAGAGCTGCCTGAGCCCGGGCTCCACGGGGCTTCGGGGCCTCGCGCGCCCTGGAGGAGTCCCTGTCGCTGCCTCGGGGAAGGACGCGAGCCCCGCGCGGCCGGCGCTGCAGCGGTCACCGCGCTGAGGCTCCCGGAGCCTACCGGCTCTGCGGCTCCGTGCGCTCTCCGGTCGCTCGCGGGCATCTTGCCCGGCACTCGGCTGGCGCAGCGCGGCGAGGTCGGCTGTTGGAGTGGTGGACTGCGGGACTGGCCCGAAAGGCGTACGCGCGGGTGTTGGACTGGAGATCCCGGCAGAAGCCGAACCCGGCGGACCTGAGCAGCCATGCTTCCCGGGGTGGGCGTGTTCGGCACCAGCCTCACCGCCCGAGTCATCATCCCGCTGCTGAAAGACGAGGGCTTCGCGGTGAAGGCGCTGTGGGGCCGCACGCAGGAAGAAGCCGAGGAGCTGGCCAAGGAGATGAACGTGCCTTTCTACACTAGCCGCATCGACGAGGTGCTATTGCACCAAGACGTGGACTTGGTGTGCATCAACCTGCCGCCTCCACTTACCAGGCAGATCGCTGTCAAAACCCTTGGTGAGCGACCCCTCCCCTCCCGCCCTCTCTCTTCCATTGCCGCGGTCTTGCTTCTCGCCCTCTCCACATCCCAGAAGCTTACACTGACTGCGTCTCCCTGCCCCAGGAATAGGAGACAGGTTACTTCCAGCTTCCCCCTTTCCTGGCCTTCCCCACCTTCATGCTTCCCCTTTCGCTCCTGGCACCACCTGGAAGCGCATCCCACGCGTGTGACTGGACCAGGTGTGGGGGTCTAGGCATAGGAGCCAGGTGGATCGAATGCAGAGATGAGAAGGTTGCTGTTCCGAGAGAGGAAAGTTGGTCCCCAGCGGTGTGTGCTAGTGCTCCAGTGTGTTGGTGTGTGCGCACCTGGAAGAGGCGAGTGTGCCGCCAGGAACCCTTGAATAAAGGGAGACACACGTGGCAGGGGTTTTCTTGAACGTACCGGCTATTCGGCAGCTGTGGCGCCTGGCTGGGAAGAATCGTTTGTTTCTTTTCCACTGTTAGTTTGGTGTGAGATGGGTGACAACTGGCTAGAATTATTCTGCCCTGGAAGCTGGGCGAGGGCGGGTCTATTAGAATACTCTCAGAGGTGTCATAGGTTAATGAAGACCGATAAAACCAGAGGAATTTAACCTTTGAGCACAGTCTCCCAGGAGTAGTCCTCTACTCCAATCGGGAATAATATACCTCTGTTTTTGGTTGATGGGCATTGTAGTTTTTTGGGTGATGGGCATTGTAGCGGCAAGGATGCGGTCCGTGGGAAAAGGCCAGGCGATGCAGTTTCCTTTGGAAACATGGGATGGCACCTCCTTATTTTGCTTCAGGTGTATTTCCAAGAGGCAGTGTTGACAAGCAAGCTGGAGATGAATTCTCCACCACCCTGGCCCAGGCAGCCACTACTGTGCTCAGAACAATGTCTTGGGCATGCCTTGTCCATTCACAGTTCTCACCCATACCTAAAAAAACCCCAGGAAGATTGCTCACTCCTTACTGTTCTGAGAAGTTTAACAACCCACCTTTGAAAGTTGAATTTTTCATTGGCAAAGCTCCTGACAAGTGGGCTAAGTAGGCTGGGCTAGGTGATGGAAACCTAAGAAGGCTGCTCAGGAGTCTCATCATTAGCATTAATTTTGTTTAGCTTCTGGTTTTGAGCCTGTTTTCTTTGGCTTTGAACTGATTTCCATTGAATTCTGGCTGTTTTTTTTTTTTTTTTTTTTTTTTTTTTTTGATTTTTTTTTTTCTGTTTGATGATACATTTATGCTGGGTAACTTTAACTCCCTTTTTTACACTGGATCTATGTATGTCAGATAGATTATAAACAAGCAATAGTATAATTCTATCAGGGTAATGTCTGTCAAATAGGTTCCTCATGAGCCCCATTTAGCTAGAGGCTCAGGACTGGTCCGATCAGAAAGGCTTTGTTGAGGATTTGTCTTCCCTCTCTCGAAGTGCATCCCTACAAGACCCACAGAGCATCCCACAAGCAACCCAGAGCAGGAGAGTGCCAATTTAGGGAACAAGGATATTCTTGTGTTCTGACAATCTCTGGTACTTTTATTTTTGTTGTTTGAGGCAGGGTCTCATGTATCCCAGTCTGGCCTCAGACTTGGTGGATAGGATGTATAGGGTGATCCTCCTGCCTCTACCTCCTGAGTGCTGAGTTCCATATCCAGTTTATTTGGTGCGGGAGGTCAAACCCAAGGTTTTATGTATACTAGGCAAGTATTCTGCCAACTGAGCTACACCCCCAGCCCTTACCTTATTTCGAGTTTCAAAATGTTTAGGAGATCTGGCTTCAAGAGATGTGGCCATGTTATCCTTATGAAGTCAGGAGGTACTGCTTAGTGGTAGAACACCTGCCTAGCATGTATAATGCCCTGTGTTTCAACTCTCAGCACTGGAGAAAAGAGTTCCTATGCCTAGCATGTATAATGCCCTGTGTTTCAACTCTCAGCACTGAAGAAAAGAGTTCCTATGATTTGTTGTTGTTTTTATTGATAAGACTTATATGAGTTGCCTCTTTAGAACCAAGCATTAGAGGTAAAATTAAATGAGTTGATATTGACCAAGGAATGGCCAGTGGTTTATGTGTTGCAGGTTTTTTTTTTTTTTGGTCTTTGAGACTGTCTCCCTGTAGCCCCAGCTGGCCTGGAACTCACTATGTAAAGCAGGCTGGCCTTGAACTCACAGAGATCTGCCTGCCTCTGTCTCCCAAGTGCTGGGATTAAAGGGCTACACTACCACATCCAAACTTTCTTTTGTTTTTTACGTTCTTTTGTGAGTAATTCAAGTTAGTCTGTGATTATAGAAAACATAGATGCACTGAATTTAGAAGTTGCTGGACAGGTGTTAGACTTCTTTCCCCCTAGAAGTCCTGGTGAGGCTCCACTTGTTTTGTGCCAGGGAGGCCGTGCTTGATGGACTATTCTATCATGGTTAAGAGATTCTACACACACAACACAGGAAGTAGAAAACCCTAAACAGTTACCAGGCTGGCTTGGCCATTGAAATTTTGCACATATTAATGTTTACCTGTAAATTGAAATGAGCCAACCCTCAGTGGGTCCTGGTGAATTGTCCTTTTCCCATAATCCTGGGCTTTGGTTTGTTTGACCAGCAGTGGAGATAGACCTGTGGCTCTCAGTCCATGCATAACTCATGGCCTGAGGCTGAAAGAGAATCATGGAAGAATGAGACTGAGTCAATTGAATCATATACATTCTCCTTTAGTTTCTCAAAATTTCCTTCAAAATCCTATTCTTACCAGACTTGGGGTCACAACCTGTATCCTAACAAGCCGGATTCTGCCACCTGTTCTCTAAAAGACAATTAAAACAGCCAAATTAATAGTAGAGAAAGATTTATTCACTGGGACCACACTGGGTGTGTCCACTGACACCCCTCCCACCCCCCGCCAAGTTCATCTTTTGGGTCTTGAGGTGAGGCTAAGGTTTAAGTAGAGGGCCAGAGTTCTGCATCTCTAAACAGTCTCCGTTAGGGTGTCTACTCTTCATTGACCTATCATTGTTTTGATTCCTCTCTCCTGCAAGGTGGTCTGACAAGTTGCAAATCTCTCTTGAGGAAAGCTTCCCCTCTGGCTGGCCCAGGCTTTAGGCTTTCCTCTTCTCACAGCATGAGATTCCTGAGGGGAAATGGCAGTTTCTTGGGGGTCTATTGTTTCAGTAGTTTGATAGCCCAAGTGAGGGACACAAGTGCCTCTTTTGACTATCTTCTTCCCTGCCTGGCGGGTCACACTACCTCGGTGGCCTCTCTATTGTAGAGATATTTGTGTACACAGAATTTGTACACTGTCCTTGGCCCCGTCTTACTGAGGACGTCCTGTGGGCCAGACAGCATGGCAGATTGCTCTGTGTAAAGCATTTCACTGTGACTAAAACAAGCTTCTAAGGTAGATAACCAGCTGATTTTACAGAGGAGGTCACTGGGATTCAGAGAGCTGAGTTGACTGTCCATGGCTGTTGAGCTAGAGACATGTACCCATTAGCCCTTCCTTCCACCACCTCTTCAGCCTCCATTACCACAGTTCTTCCCATCATGTAACAGTAGAGATTGCTGGGAAGGTCCCGTGTTCCTTTCTATCCCACTGATGGACTCAGTTCCCTTAGAGCCAATGTCATTCCCGAATCTTTCTTTCCCCTTCTGCCTCATCAGTCCCCCCAATCTGCATCTAGGCCTTTACCTAGTTTCTAAATTACATTCCAGACAGTCATGGCCCAGCCCTGCTAGCTCATCCTCCTCAATGCTGGAGAAACATAGTCATGGACCTGTTGTCATAGCACCTTTCAAAGCCTCCCTGTTGCTTCTAGGAAGAGCCTTAGCTTGCTGACACAAGCAGCAGCTGGTCCCTGATGAGACTAGGTGGGGTCATATCCTGGAAGGTATTTAAGAATCTTGTTAGCTTGGGCCAGGGAGGTGACTCAGCAGGTAAAGATGCTTGCTTGCCATGCAAATTTGGAAACTTGAGTTTGATCTCTGGAACCCATTTGGAGGTGGAAAGTGATAGTTGACTTCCTTGATCTCCACTGTGCACTGTGGCATGCATGTGCTCACACAGACACAACACACACATACACACAGAGGAACCCCATCAATTGCAGTTAAACCACTACTGGGGTTGGCTCATAGGTTCAGGCCTCTGTTAGAACACCCTTGTCCCTGTAGTTGAATTGAGAATTGTACAACCTTCAAAACTGATCATCTCTTAGCACTTCCTGAATCATCCACTTCTATTTCCTTGACCCCATCCCTACCCCTGTGTACCCATTGTTCTGGGTTCTTAGTACAATGAAACTTCTTTCTTTCTTTCCTTCCAGGAACCAATTTGAATCTATTTGTTTAAAATTGAAATTGCATTCAGTTAGCTTGGATAGCATATACATTTACATGTTACAAATTTCAAACACTATAAAACACACAATATGGGGGCTGGAGAGATGGCTCAGTGGTTAAGAGCACTGGCTGTTCTTGCAGAGGAAAGACCCAGGTTCGAATCCCAGCACCCACATGGCAGCTAACAACTGTCCATAACTTCAGTTCCAGGGGGATCCGATGGCCTCTTCTGTCTTCCTCTGGCATTGCACAACACGGGTGCACTTACAAACATTCAGGCAATATATGTATACACATAAAATAAAAATAATAAAATACTAAAAAAACCACAATATGGAATAAATATAGCCATCTTCATTCTGAGGTAATGATTCTATCACTTTTTTCAATGCCTCCTATTTTTCTAGATACACTGGTAAATACAGGCATGAGAATTTTATGCCCTTTTGCATGATTGGTCAAGTCTCCGTCCCACTGCTGTAAGCCTGCTTTTTATCACTCGACAGTGTTATCTTGTATATATATATTAAAATCATTTAATAGTATATAAAATTTAGATGCATTATGTAACAACAAATACAGTTGGTTCTCCATGCTATGAGTTCCATATTTATGAATTCAACCAACTGTGAATAAAAAATACTTGAAAAACAAAAGAAATTGTATC